AGAGAAGATGGCCCTGCGAACAACGTGAGCACTCCTACCCCTCCCATAAAACCCCCGCCACGTCTCATCTTCATCACCTCCCACCATAGCCCTGCCGCTTCTCCCACTGCCGTGCTCAATTCACTCCCGCCGCCTAGCCAGGCCCCATGCAGACGTGTCGCTTCGAACGGGTATATCTGCCCCGCCCTAGAGTTTTTCTCTCGACAAAGAACAAAGACCTCCACGGATCTTACCTGGATGAAGGATCTTGTTTGTCCGCGAAATCCGACTGACGACCCTCTTCATGGCCTGTTAAGGGTTGGTTTCCCTACCCAGCGACTACAGGGCCCTTGTTTTGCAGCAAAACACGTGAGAATCTATCAAAGAATTTGAGAAAAATCCCAAACAGTCTAGATAGTCAATTTAGTGTGATAGTTACGGAGCGAGATCATCCTGTCAAAATATACCATTTCCGCTCCCCCCCCCTCTTCATAAAAACCAGCCTGAGTCTACTATGGGGGGTGATTGTGGTAACCGTGAACAGGCAAGTGAGTCCTCACAATTCCTTTACTTTTTTGCAGAGGTTGGGGCGGGCGGGGGGGGGGGGGGGGGGGGGGGGGGGAAGAGATGTTGTTCGGGTGGTAATGCTTTCGAGCAGGAGAACCGGAAAGTTGGCTTCGTTTATGTGCTCCTCCACTCATGAGATCCTTCACCTGTACTGCCATCTGCCCCTTCTGCAATAAAAAATTTCTGTCGTTTGCAGGGGAGCCCAGCCTTACTTGGAGAGATTTCATCGGCGTCCAGGATTCCAAGTAAAACAGTTGAGCGCAAACCTTTAAACCACCAGTACCTTTCCCAGGCAACTTGCCGGAACGTGCCGGCTAACACGGAGGCCGCACTTGGCCTCGGGCGGCGGGCAGATGCACCGCCAGAACTTTGCGCGCAGGGCCCGCGGCCCACAGCTGGGAAAGGTACTGCAGGTTTAATCTACCAGTGCTTTTACCAGCCATTTTTCGGTGGTGCGGCTGCGGTTTTCGGGGCACACTGACAGCCTACTGGAGCTGAATGGCCAGTTCGTCCTTTTCTAGTGTCGAAGGAGAATCCGCTTCAGCCGACAGGAAGCCTCCAAGCGCGGATGGTTTGACTGTTAGGAAATGATTTTTCTCTCTCTTTTTTTTTTCTTTTTTTGTGGCCCAAGGCCCCTTCACATCCTTTCCTTCAGAGTCAGGAAATTAGTTCCACATCGACCATGCTCAACTCTTTTTTTTTTTTTTTTTTTTTTTCGGAACTACGCTATATTCTCCTCTCAAATCTTTCATCATCTTTCAAATTCTTCCAATTCACCAACTTCGACCACAAGGCAGGGTTTTCAAAACGAGAAATAGTTGCAAAATACATCCGAAGGACATTTACTACGACAACATCTTCGTATCCCAAATTCGTGGCCTGAGAGATTCGAACTCTCGCGGGTATAACCCATGTACTTAGCAGGCACACGCCTTAACCACTCGGCCAAAGCCACCACACATTCTTGGGGGGGCTTCAGCCTTATATAGACAGGTAGATTTGTCAAACACCGAGTGCTGTCTTAACCACCACTCGGCCAAAGCCACAACCCGTTCTTCTGAGGGCTTCAGCCGTTTATAGACGATCAGAATTGTCAAACACCAAGCGCTGTTTTCTAATCTGGGTATTAATTTGGTCATCTGATCGGGGGATCTCAAGGGTTCGAATTCTCGTGTTAACCCCTCAACGAGTGATTTGGGGGTTTCAGGAATCAGGCTAACATAGAACAGTAGGTTCTCGGAGTTTGCAAACACTAGGCGCTGGACCAGGCGTCTAATCTGGTCATCTGACCAGGCAGGCACTAACGAAGAAGTTCCAAAAACCCAATCCTACGTCGTGGCCTGAGAGATTCGAACTCTCGCGGGTATAACCCATGTACTTAGCAGGCACACGCCTTAACCACTCGGCCAAAGCCACCACGTGCTCACACAAACCGCGTTTCAAGCTATATTGTGTGTGTGTATTACCCGGGGCAAGGTCCCACTTGCACGGATTAAGAGATTCTGACCGTTGATCTTTGCAATCTACGGTCAATGTCGCTTAATGCGTGTAAGTGGGGCCTAGCCCCCGGTGGGTACACATTCTCAACGGCAAACGGCCTCGTTCGACCAGTCTGCAAATGCGAATATGACAAAAAAAAAGAGGCGGCTGACGAAAGGGTCACCGTTTGAGGCATTTGGGTAGCGGGCCTCTCCAGTGTGACCTGATGTTGGGTCTCTTTTTTTATTTTTTTATTTATTTATTTATTTTATTTTTTTTAAGATTTGGACCATTTCTCGATTTATGCGTGTCATCCTTGCGCAGGGGCCATGCTAATCTTCTCTGTATCGTTCCAATTTTAAC